GTAGAAAAAGAAGTAAGTCTATAATTAATTTTTCATGCATGGAAAAACTTACCTGCTGTACTGCATGACAGAGAAGAAGTCGTAGGGCGTTTCCAAGTTGTTTGTTGGCACCTTTCTGAAGCTGTCTTTTTCTCCTTTTCATGAACCAGAAGATAAAAACGTGAAACATGCTACAATTAAACTGCTTAAATAAAGTACTTTAGAAACTTTGGTAAAATAATACATGGATAATTCCAATTTATCAGAAATGTATTAGATTAAAAGGATTTTTTAAATATTTAGATGCTGACCTTTTATAATGTTCTTGGTGTAAACTCGAATGTATTTGTCTCTGTCAGAGCGGCACTGCTCATGATGGAAGCCCAGAGCATGAAGAACCTCGTGCTGCACTGTGCCATAGTACAGACAACCCCTTCTCTGCAGGGAGAGGTACTGCTTTTGACCCTGACGGCCAACAAAGGACCAGCACCTGACATGCACACATGAACATCAATAAAACAAGGCTCTAATAATTGTGGTTTTCACTTCTTTGAGTAACATTTATTCATTAGAGACATGTAATAACATAGAATAACTACATGCAAATGTCAACTAATCAAGTTAGCACTTCTTTTATCGGGACAAATTTTCAACAGAATAAAACCATTTCAGTCAGAAAACTAAATGTGTAAATGTTATTTTTTTTAAATTATAAAATATAAGTTTAGCTTGAAACTGAGCCTATAACTCCATTTTCAGGTCTCTCTTGTAAATGAGTCCTCGAGGCTCAATGGGGTTAACCTTTATAAATAAAGGTTGAATGATCATGTTGCTCAAGATATCATTTTTTACTGTAAGATTTGCACCTTGGTGTGAGTCATGTACTGTACCATCATCCTATCATCCGTGTGTGTTTGTGTGTGTCTGTGTGTAGGGGTGTGTTTGAGTATGTAATCCTACCCTTCTTGTGATTCAAAGTAGATGTAATCACGATCTTTTGAAGTCTTCGGGACAAAGCGTATGCAGGTGGACCACTCAAAGCTCTTAAGCCCTTCAAGGATGATGTTAGATTCTGTGTGAGCTGCAGAAATATTGCACCATTTAATTAAAATATCTGTAATTCTTAACAAAATCAAGAAAAATGTAGCATGGAGGCTGCACAGCTGCAGAAAGAAAAGCTTTGCAGAAAGTGGTGAAGGCTGCACAGAAGATGTTGGAGTCTATCTCCCCACCATCACAGACATCTACACCTCCAGATGTAGGAAGAGGGCCACTTGCATCATGAAGGACCCCACTCACCCAGCACACACTTTTTCCTGCTCCCCTCAGGAAGGAGGTTGAGGAGCATTAAGTGTAGAACCACTAGACTGAGGAACAGCTTCTACCCTCAGGCTGTTAGACTCATTAATCTCTAACCAGAATAATCACTGTGAAAAAAAATCACTAATGCTATTCAATTCAATTCAATTCAGTTCAATTCAGTTTATTTATATAGCGCCAAATCACAACAAAGTTGTCTCAGGGCACTTTAAAGGAACATTTACATATATAAAAAAGACAATTAGTAAAGGTCTCTCTAAGGAGGCCAGAAGAGAAGTTGCCACTTGATTGTTGATATGTGCTGCTGACTATCCATGTTGCTGATCTTATGCTGCTGATTTATTTCATGCTGCTGATCTGTTTCATGCTGCTGTATTCATTCATACACTTCTGCTCACACAGACTCATGATCATGCTGCTGTTGTTCGGCGTATTGTTTATGTACTATTAGTTCTTAGTGTATTCTTAGTTTAACATATTTCTTAGTTCATGTCTTGGATCTTATTACTGTTTTTCTTTACAATTTATACTTTTGTTGGATGTAACTGGGACCCTGTGTACATAATTTCATTCCACCACATGTACCATATGAGATGAGAATGACAATAAAGAACCTTGACCTTGACAAAACTGATAATAAAGATGATCAGTCGTGTCACAACAACATGGTGTTGAACCTAAATGCATACCGACACGGGGGACTCGAAGATAAAAAATATCAATTTATTAAACAAAACTCAAAACAACAGCTGGCGTGGCAGAAAAACTTAGTGAGTACAGGAGCACGAGGAACGTGACAGACTGAGGGAAACGCAATCTACGGACAACGTGAAAACACAGTAACCTTGAACCTAAAGGGACACTAAGGAGACACAATGACAAACATCTGGGGAAAGACAATGAACTGGTGAGCATGGCAGGAGATGACTACATGAGGAGAGAAACAGGAAACACAGGAAAACAGACTCAGAGAACTAGATCAAAATAATCACAAACATCACAAAACCCTCAGACGTTATACAGTTGTCTGCTTTGTAGAATTTTAAATTATTACTTACTGTACACAGAAGAGATTTCATATGGGATGTAGACATTGTTTCCAGATTTGGGCCACTTGCAGCCTTTAGCAGTGCATGGGTCTGCGTTCTTGAGTGAATCGTTCAGTACAGCAATATCCCCATGCACTATAGAGATTTCTGTAACACAACAAACACACTTACAAAAACAGTAATATAAAAACTGTTTTTACAGTAATTATACATTTTTATTTAAAATTAAAGCTATTGCTAACTATTGTTTTTCTTTTTCAACATGAACTAATATTTTCTTGTCAGTTTGAGTTATTGGATTTAACACTATGTAATATAGTGCATTATAATAAAAGATAATATGGTTTTGCACATGTTTTGGCATGTCCGGACAAACCTGTCAAAACAGTCTACTCTTTACAATGATTTCTAAGGATTAATCAGTATCAAGAAAAGAAAAATCTTAAAGCAAATGTTGAGAAATATTCAGTCAAGTTGCGTTGCCAGGCGTAGTCAAACAAGAGTTTCTCTGTGGCCCTGAGTGGAAGTGGATGGCCCATGAACATTAAAGCTTTTGTAGAATAAATGGAAACTGAATCGTTTACTTCGATGATAAAAACTTGTGACTGCTAAAAACAATCACGTTTTACTCTAAGTCAAAAAACAAAAACAAAATATATCTTGAAAAATATTTTAATGATACCAAAATCATATTAATTATTTTAAAATCCAAGAATCTTTATAACTTATTTCAATAAGTTTAAACTAAGCAATGTGAAAAGTTGTAGCCCAACACAAAAATTGCCTTTTTAGTCACTGCCAATACGTAAGAAAACTTTTATACAGTTAAGTTTGAGTTTGTTACTGCATCGCCTTTTAGAGGCACTTTCTACATGAACACAAAGTTTAACTGGGTTCGAAAATCATATACTGACATACCAAATCAACTGATTGTATATAGGTGCTTTAAACATAATCTATGTTTGTTAAGATGTTGAAAAGTAAAATTGTGCCTACAGGAAACTCAGATGTGCTTTGGTCTGACCAAAAACTCAAAATTTCAGCTTTCTCACAAATTAGAAGTTAAAAAAATAGATGGAAAACAAAATTCTGGATATTTTTTTCAGTACATATTTAATGCACACGCCCCAAAATGTCTACTTAGAGGCCATCTGAAGTGGCGTTTGGTTGTTCAGGCAGGAAAGAGCAGTGCATGTGATTCTGTACCAGAAGGAGAGGAGTTGTGTGCAAGTCAACTATTGTATATAGAAGGGGAGTTTATGCTGTTGTCAGATAACAGAACCCATTATAGTGCACCAAACTGGACAAAAAACTGATATGAGATGACGTACAAAAAGAGTTCATAACCCTGTGGATATTGTAGGATTACTTTTTTAAATAACTTTAGTAGTTGAGCTGCTGTTTAAGTGACCAGTTTTTATGCTCTTCAATAAACCCTGATTTTTGCTGTCAATCACAGATCCAGTGTTTTCTATTCTTTCACTTGATGATCGTGTGATCACTGAGCTACAGCACAATGACTAAGGTAAAGTTTTGGCGAGGATTCAGTGGAGTTCTGAACCCACTGGTCTTTAAAGATATACCACAACAGTACTAACTAACTAACTAACTAACTAACTAACTAACTAACTAACTAACTAACTAACTAAC